ATTTTAATATGAGAAACACATTATTTTAGAAGGGTTTGTGATTAACAGAGGGCTCAAACATACCATGATGTAGCCTGCTTGTTCTTTATTTGCTCAGTTTTTGGTATCATAATGTGATGGAGCCCCTCGGACAGCCTCCCCCCTCTCCTCCCCCCTCCTCCGTGATGTGTCAGCTGCTCCTCGGGAGGACAAAGAGCCCGCGGTCAGTACGTGCTCACTCTTCCTGCCACATTTACGCAGACAGTCCATCCCGACCAGCAGACATGAAGTCACGACGTGCCACGCCACGACTGTATTTATAAATGCGCGGGCGTGCCGGGATGCGCCAACCGGGAGGGGGACTCTCCGACTTATGACGGTTTATTGCCGACAACGTTACGCAGCGCACGCACGCCGTAGCCAGAAGCTACGTGTCCGGCCACACACGCGCAGCTACACTCGTGCCAGTTGGGTCATCTTTCGTGGAAAAGACGGGGTTGGTTTGCAGAGGTAGCTGCAGCCACAAGACTGGAAAATTCCCCCATCTTTCCTATCGCCTGGAAGTGGAAATTAGAAAGTGGGGGGCTCATTAACTCATCCACGTGGGCATTACGCTCCTTTCAGGATCATTTCCAAAAATTAGACAATTACATGGAACTAGTTTGGAGTGAATTCAGAGTTTATTTACAGTTTTATGTCAATAAACTGAGTGAAAGTTTCATTTTTGAAAGTATACTTTAAGTTCAAGTATACTACACACTATGTACTTGTAGTGTACTAGAAAGTATACTGATTTAATACTTGTTCTGAGTAAATTGGGACATTTTTAGTTTATAAAAAGTATACGTCAAGTATACTGTTGTACGGTCTTTTTTAAGTTTACCAAATTCAAGTACACTCATCTACATACTACTAGTGTACTACGTATTTACTTGTGGGTCACATTTTAGTTTGTTGAAGTACATTTAAAGTATACCACAAGTATACTTTTCTCTATACTGCCATTGCACTAGTTATATACTTGTAGTCCACATTTCAGTTTATTTAAGTATACCTTAAGTACACTTTTATGAATAAAGAGAAATAAAGAGTAATAAAATATAATAAAGAAAATATAAAATATAATAAAAATAATAAAGAGTAGCATATACTAAAGTACAAGTACAAGCTTTAGTATTAAAGTATACGTTTACGGTAAGGCTTAGTATTAATGTACTTCTCTTTATACAAACCGGATTCCAAAAAAGTTGGGACACTAAACAAATTGTGAATAAAAACTGAATGCAATGATGTGGAGATGGCAAATGTCAATATTTTATTCGTAATAGAACATAGATGACAGATCAAAAGTTTAATCTGAGTAAATGTAACATCTTAAAGGAAAAATATCTTGATTCAAAATTTCAGTGTCAACAAATCCCCAAAAAGTTGGGACAAGTAGCAATAAGTGGCTGGAAAAAGGAAATTGAGCATATAACGAACAGCTGGAAGACCAATTAACACTAATTAGGTCAATTGACAACATGACTGGGTATAAAAAAAGCTTCTCAGAGAGTCAGTGTCTCTCAGAAGTCAAGATGGTAAGAGGATCACCAATTCCACCATTGTTGCGCAGAAAGATAGTGCAGCAATACCAGAATGGTGTTACCCAGCGTAAAATAGCAAATACTTTCAAGTTATCATCATCAACCGTGCATAACATCATCAAAAGATTCAGAGAATCTGGAACAATCGCTGTGCGTAAGGGTCAAGGCCGTAAAACTCTACTGGATGCTCGTGATCTCCGGGCCCTTAAACGTCACTGCACCTCAAACAGGAATGCCACTGTCAAGGAAATAACAGAATGGGCTCAGGAATACTTCCAGAAAGCATTGTCAGTGAACACAATCTACCGTGCCATCCGCCGTTGCCAGCTGAAACTCTACAGTGCAAAGAGGAAGCCATTTCTAAGCAAGCTCCACAAGCTCAGGCGTTTGCACTGGGCCAGGGGTCATTTAAAATGGTGTGGCAAAATGGAAAACTGTTCTGTGGTCAGATGAGTCACGATTTGAAGTTCTTTATGGAACACTGGGACGCCATGTCATCCGGACCAGAGAGGACAAGGATAGCCCAAGTTGTTATCAACGATCCATTCAGAAGCCTGCATCACTGATGGTATGGGGTTGCATGAGCGCTTGTGGCATGGACGGCTTGCATGTCTGGAAAGGCACCATTAATGCAGAGAACTATGTTCAGGTTCTAGAACAACATATGCTCCCATCTAGACGTCATCTCTTTCAGGGAAGACCCTGCATTTTTCAACACGATAAGGCCAGACCACATTCTGCAGCAATCACAACATCATGGCTACGTAGGAGAAGGATCCGGGTACTGAAATGGCCAGCCTGCAGTCCAGATCTTTCACCTATAGAGAACATTTGGCGCATCATAAAGAGGAAGGTGCGACAAAGAAGGCCCAAGACGATTGAGCAGTTAGAGGTCTGTATTAGACATGAATGGGAGAGCATTCCTATTTCTAAACTTGAGAAACTGGTCTCCTCTGTCCCCAGACGTCTGTTGAGTGTTGTAAGAAGAAGGGGGGATGCCACACAGTGGTAAAAATGGACTTGTCCCAACTTTTTGGGATTTGTTGACACCATGAAATTTGGAAACAACTGATTTTTCCCTTAAAATGATACATTCTCTCAGTTTAAACTTTTGATCTGTGATTTGTGTTCTATTCTGAATAAAATATTAGATGTTGGCACCTCCACATCATTGCATTCAGTTTTTATTCACAATTTGTTTAGTGTCCCAACTTTTTTGGAATCTGGTTTGTACTTTTCAGTATTAGCCAAGTATACTTCACAATACTATTTTTAAGTATATCAAATAAAGTTTATAAAAAGTAAACGTCAAGTACACTTTCTCATTTTAAGTGTAAAATAAGTATACTCGTAGTACACTTAAATAAATTACTTATTGCTAAGGGAGTAAAAGTTAAAGGTTGCTCATTTCTTGAAGGAATATCACCCACTGCCTTTCATATCCCAGAAAGATGATCTCCTGTTGTTGATGGCTTACAGCCGCACAAGTCTGGGGTGACTCTCGGCTACTACCACAGTTTTAGCTCAGTATTTGTAAAACTGATGGTCGTTTTTGTGTTCGCTATTATGGTTGGTCCGTTCTGGCGGCCATCTTAAATCGATTCATCTCCCAACATTTAATCACTACGTCCAGTGATTTGTTTCTGGGACTTTCGTTAAAACCCATCAAGCAATTCATGAGATATTTTGCTAACAGACAAACAGGGTTGACTGCAGTAACGCCAAGGTTTTAGACAAAGCTTGTGTTGCGGGACAATGCTCAGCATTTTCCACACTAAGCTTTAGCTTCATATTCGTAAAATTAGCTGTAGTTATGTTTTAAGGTCAGCAGGCTGTGGCGGCCATCTTTGACTCTAAACTTAATAGTACCAAAAACAATCCACCCAGTGAATCCGTGTCCAGTTGTCCCCTTCTTACAATGCTGTTATTGCTAGTATCACTCAGCCCTCTGTGAATAGCAAGCGGTCATCAGGGCACTAACAATCAGTCGTTATGCTGATGGCCCGATCTGTTCCAGAAGCACAATCCGTACCGTCAGCTCATTTGTGCATGCGCTAAAACAAATACGTCCAGGTTGCATGGATCGCCACTGTTTATGAACAAGAACTGTCTTAATTTACTTAGAATAGTCCGTGCTCTATCTCCGTCAATCTTCATGTTGCTAATTTACGCCACTCGTATTTCCATTAAAATCATTATTTATGTCATTACCTGACCCCCAGCATGGGCTGAATGAAAAAAAACCTGCAAGATACAGAATTAATTAGTTCCATGGTGAAGTGGCGTAAATTAGCAACATGAAGATCGACGGAGATAGAGCACGTACTTCCATCCATCCATCCATTTTCTTCCGCTTATCCGGGGTCGGGTCGCGGGGGTAGCAGCCTAAGTAGGGAGGCCCAGACTTCCCTCTCCCCAGCCACTTGGGCCAGCTCTTCCAGGGGAATCCCGAGGTGTTCCCAGGCCAGCCGAGAAACTTAGTCCCTCCAGCGTGTCCTGGGTCTTCCTCTGGGCCTCCTTCCGGTGGGACGTGTCCGGAACACCTCACCAGGGAGGCGTCCAGAAGGCATCCTAAACAGATGCCCAAGCCACCTCCACTGGCTCCTCTCGACGTGGAGAAGCAGCGGCTCTACTCCGAGTCCCTCCCGGATGATCGAGCTTCTCACTTTATCTCTAAGGGAGAGCCCAGACACCGTGCGGAGAAAACTCATTTCGGCCGCTTGTATCCGAGATCTCATTCTTTCGGTCACAACCCAAAGCTCGTGACCATAGATGAGGGTGGGAACATAGATCGATCGGTAAATTGATAAGTAAATTAAGACAGTTCTTACTCATCAAAGGAATTATAACATTGTCTAAGAAAATGAATCAATTTATAGAACGAGATATTTTAATTAATATTAATAATTGTGGTATGTTTTATAAATATATTTTTATTAACATGAAATATGTGTTGTATTAAATCAGTTTACAGGATATAATTTAGCACACCTTTATAATTAAGGCTGTAAGTAATTATTTCCAGTACATTTTCCTTAATCTAGTAGCGGCACTCCGTGTGACCCGGAAGTATTCATTTTAGCGCATGCACAAATGAGCTGACGGAACAGATCGGGCAGTGACGGCCCTCCTTTATCACGTGAGCAGCTAGTTCTGGATGTCACCAGCAAACTGGTTGATCCACTATGAGAAGGTGCTATTTATAAGACTGAGTTTACTGCAGCTCCTCAGACTGACTAGGTGAAACGTTTCTACATTTTTTTTAAATGTATTTCTTTAATCCATCCAGAGGACCTGATTTATCTTTTTTATTTATTTTCTACCTAATTTACGTCCTTCTCCAGAACGCGTTTGGTGGACACGCCACCCCTCCGGAATAATCGTCCAATCAGCGGCGGCTCCGAGTCTTCGGACGTCAGCCGCCCGTGTGACACAGCCTCAGTGCGGAGAGACGCCGAGTCAGGGAGGAAGAGCCGCTGCGAGGCGCGCGGACACGCACACCGGCGACGACACACGGCAAATACCGAAACTTTACGCTTCGTATTAACACAACTACTATTTCTAGGACGATTATTTCCCCGCCGCCTCCTCCTGAACCTGGGTTCGAGTTACACGCAGGAGCGAGGCTACAACTTCTTCTTCTTCTTGTTGGAGACGGCTGGCCCGCGACAGGCATGATGGGATTATTCTGGGAATGACTGCGCCCGCTCCTCCGGAAAGCAGCGATCTGCCTCGGAACGATGTGACACGCTGCGGCTCGTGGATTCTCGCCTTTCTGGATATTTTGAAAACCATTGGAAACAGTTGAGGTTTTTTTTTTTTTTTTTTTTTTTTGAGTGAGTGTGAGAGACGCGCGTGAGTGAGTGTGTCCAACCCTTTTCGGGACCAGCATGGATTTACAACCCCCGGCCCCCTTTTCAGAGAACTTCTTCTAACTTGTTGTTTTTATTCTCATTTGGAGAGTTAAAAAGTTAAAGACTAAACAGCTTCCACCTTGAACGCTCAAGCTTTTTATTATTTTTGTATTTTTCTAATTTATTTGAATTCATTTATTTTGGACTGGATTCCCAACATCATGAACTTTATTGACAGTTTGACTCTATTATTTTTGACGCTGTCAGCTGTCAAGGTGAGTGCTCCAACTGGAACCATTAAGGGGTGTGTGTGTGTGTGTGGGGGGGGGGGGGGGCAGTCGTATTGACCTTCATTTGTGGTCATTAATGTGTAGCTTGCCTTTGTCAGGTCACCTTAACCAGCTCAGATGTTTTAGTGTATTTTTGTTGGGGTTAGAGGAGATGGAAGCAGCTTTACGCACAAAAAAAAAAGCGTCACCCCGCAACGATCCATTCTAGGTGGTGCGTTTATCCATTTAGCTCCAAATGCGTGAGGTTTATTTCAACCCTAATGTTGTGAAGTTAGACTGCAGGCCTTTGCTCTAAAAGCACCTTGGAGATATTATTACGCTTTAAAGGCGCAGCGGCTCCATTCTGGATCAGGACATGTGAGCAGGTTCACCACTTTTTTTTTTTTTTTTTTAAACAAACCGATTGGATCGTTTCAGGGTCTAAATAATCATTAATCTCTGTATGGCTTTGAGCAAAGGTTTCATGAGGTGGGGGGGGGGACGCCACCCAAAGAGGTGGTTGCTGTTTCCTGGGACTTGATTGGACTTTTAAAAAGATACTTCCAACTATTAGCCACTTTAAAAAAAACGAAAAATCTCCCTGCTTTAGTTTAGGCTCTTATTCTCATTTTATTCTCAAAGCGTTTGTTTAAATCCTGACAGCTGATTTATGTTGCGCTCCTTTAATAATAATACAGTATATATGGTGTTTTGGGAAGGGGGTGGGTGAGGGGGGTCTCAGCCCACATGGTTGAACCCTCTCACGCCACCAGAAGTGGGCGGAGCCTGCAGACGAACCATTTTTTTCTCTTTTTTTATGGTTAAAACTCTGTTTCCCTCGGGGCTCATTCAGAGGCACATGCCGGTGTTGTGTTCCGATCTGTTACCCCGTAATTTGGCTCCGTTTTCTCTCCGCTGTTTAAAAAGAATACGGCATCTTAATGGAAAAGAAAAGTTTTTTTTTGGGTCCGCATGGAGAGCGCAGTCTGGTGTCAATAGTAGGAAATCAAGATGACACTTTTTATTTTTATAAATCTTTATTGATAATAAAATGGTTGACAAAACTGCAAAATCAATATCATCACTATAGAGCAAAATAAACAAGACAATAATGCCAGGGGGAAATCGAGATGACACATGTGTCAAATGCATGTGAGTCATTACGTCATGACGCACTGAGCATGAAGCTGACGGCTGGCTCAGACCGGTGGGGGAACATATCTCAACACAACACCGGTTCGACAGGCGCAGGTCTCATGCAATATTAGCGAGGTATTGCGTGAGTTGCGCGCGCTTCTGTGTGAGAAAAAGGGGGGTAAGAGGAGGGGGGGAAGTGTGTTGGGTTGTAGGAGGGAGGGAACAAATGCAGATTGTGGCCCCTCTGCTGTGGTGACATTCCTAATGGTTTTAATGGCGACGCGTATTAGAGGAAGTGAAAGGAACGCATGCGGTTCCAAAGTTTATGAGGTTTTGCCACGTAGGTTGGTGAGGCAGAAGTGAGGAGCAGTCTGCCTGGCACGGCTCAAATAACGCCTCCCACTCTGATTGAGCTGTATAACAGTTATACAGCTTAATGAAGGGAGGGGTGGCACCTAAAGTGATGGCTTCTTCAGTGCAGGTGTGGACTGAGTGATGATGGAGAAGTGGCAAACTGCACCTCATCTTTTGCACAATTGGATAAGTGGAGGGCAGGGCCAGGTTTTATTTTTATTTATTTTTTCTGACTACTTGCACAATCAACTGTTACTAACAGCAGCTCTTATTCTTTTTTGCAGAGCGCCCACATACCGAAGGAAACGGAAAGAGGTCCACATGATGGTAGGTGTCCCACAGGGCACCGTGGGAATAGTTTGTGCTGGACTCCCTGCTTGGCATCCGGCCCATGCATTGAGGACTGGTTTAAATTTCACCTTGACTTTTTCAAGAAAATTACCGCCCCCTAGTGGAGAACTCCGGAATCTCGCCCTGTAGAGCTAGAGCTCTTCAATTAAAGTCACACTAAAGGAAATCTGTATAACATATAATGTATTTTTATTTCTGCAGATCAATATAAAACGCATATAGCATATAAAATAAATTGGTTCTTGACCAGTTAACCAACAGCTATGGAGTTTGTGCATTCGACCCATCAGGGTTTCCAAAAACATGCATGTTAGATTAATTGACTAATCGAGTTAGGTGTGGGTGAGAGTGGTTGTTGGTCTCCGTGTGGCTCTGTGAGTCCAGGGCGTGTGCCGCCTCTCGCCCATTGACCACTGGAGATGGGCACCAGCTCGCCGTGAGTGGGTAAACATAAGGATGACTGAGTGGTCCAAGCTCAAAAGTTTAAATTGAGAAAACATTTAGAGTCTAGAAAAAAAAGTTTAGTTGGATCTAAAGCCAGACCTCTGCTGTCGAGGTTTAAATAAGTGTTTACCCTGAAGAGCATTCAGTTGAGGTTAACCTGAGGAAATGTTTTGGTCGCCACTCTCGTACGTTTCCTCCACAGAACAGAATGTCACCCTCTTCTTTGGCCTCACAGGTTCTTTTTTCCTTCTCACACAATTGCCCAATCTTAATTTGAACCCTTGTAAGCTGGGGTTCAGGACGTTGGTCAGGCGTAGTGTGTTTGGGTTGTTCCTCCCAGAGGACTGTCCGATGGTCTGGGCTCCGTGATGGTGTCAGTCCGTGTGCTAATATCTTTCTCAAGAGCAGAACTCCTGCAAAGACCAGGAGGAGGAGGGGGTGCGGTACAGACTGAAGGTGGAAACTGTCTCAGTAGAAGACGGTGTGGATAACGAGCGAGCTGTAAAAAAAAATTGATGCCACTCGAGTTTTATGACGGCGGGGGTCCTCACTGATGAGTAGTTCAACAACTTAATGACAAATTATATGTTTGTAAAGTAGACCCGTGTGTTTGCTTGTATAAACCGAGTGCCGCGGAGTGGAACAATAGGAATTAAAACGTGTGTGTGCACGTCTCTGTGTTTCCACTTCGCTCTTTTAGTCCGTTGTGCGTCTGCCAACATTTTTATTCAAATTACCACCGAGGTGGGTGCTGCTTCCACAGAACCGATGTTTTAAAACATCTCTCGCTCTCTTCCTCCACAGTGATCCCTTTAATGGAGGTGTACAACAAGAGTTTGTGTCAGCCGCGGGAGGTGCTGGTGGATATTCTACAGGAGTACCCGGAGGAGGTGGAACACATCTTTATCCCGTCCTGCGTGGTGCTGAAGCGCTGCGCCGGCTGCTGCGGCGACGAGATGCTCCAGTGCACGCCGACCGCCAGCTATAACGTTACAATGGAGGTAAAACGTCACGTTAGGCTGCGGCTTTATGTCACTCTGAAATTACTAGATTTTTTTTTTTTTTAAATTCAGCTGGATTTGGTGGTTTTCGTTAGCCATCAGGATACATAAATGGTAAATCAGTGCTTTATCACATTCATACACTGATGGGACACATCGGAGGCACTGAGGGGTTCAGTGTCTTGCTCATGGACGCGTTGGCATGTGACTGCTGGTGGATTCGAACCCCCAACCCTCCCATTGGAGGACGACTGCTCTAACCACTCAGCCACAGCTGCCCCATTACATAAATGGTTTAAATGTCACTTTAATGGGCACAAGTCCACCTAAGCTGAGAGCCCTGACCGAGCTTGGCATTTAAAAAGCCCCTCTGATGCGTTCAAGTGCACATAGTTTAAAATGCCACTTAGACATGGACATTCAAAGAGCGCTTCCATTTCTGTTTTTTCAATTGGCCTTTCACATTTGAATCTACGAATTGAAGAGATTTCTGGGTAAATATGAGCAAAATCTCCAGAAAAATATAATTCTTTGTTTATGTCAACAAATTGTGCCCAAACAATTTCTGTAAAGCATCTTAATTGTTTGGTTTTTGACTCGGTTCCTTGGCTTTTTATAGATTTTCACATCTTTAAAACATCCAATGATCCGATGAGGAAGATAAAAAACACCAGAAGTCTCTCACAATTCCTAAAAGAAAACCTCATTTGAGAAAAGCAGAAATATTGTTTTAAGTTACAAAACAGAATTTGAGATTACATCTGAATTCTCATCCGTTTGAACAAAGTCCGACTCGTTTCGAATCTGTATATAACTGACTTATTGAAATGTCTCTTTTTTTTTTTTCTTACAGATTAAAAGAATAAAGCTCCAAAGGCAACAGAATAACATATTCATGAGTTTTACAGAGCACAGCGCATGTGAGTGTAGGTAAGAAACCTCCAACACAAACAAACTCACAATCACCGCCCCATTGTGTAGCAGGCCGGAGCACATCACGTGAACTCATTGTGTTCAGCTCGCCCCGACACATTCAGTAGATGCAAACCCACAGACTCGTATCTTATCTCGGTTTCTTCCAGTTGGCCGATTTTTAAAAAAGAAGAAAGTGCAGAGCAGGTTCAGACATAACGCCGTGTTTTGAATTTGATGTTGCTGAGGCCGTTGCATGTAAAGCTCCTTCCTGGAACTACAGGTGCTGTAATTGTTGATCTCTGCAAAGCTTTACTTTTATTTATTGGGTCTGCAAAGTATCTGCAGACACACATTATTATCCACCCGACTTTGGTTTCTTAACTTTATTTTTTATCTTATACACGCTTCCGTAAACTTTAATGCGACCCGAACCGCAATGTGCAACCCCACAAATGTTATATCAACACGACCGGCTCAGCGCAGTGATGTGTGCTAATACTTTTGCTGGCGTTTCAAGTTACCATGGCGACGTATTTTGCTAACAATGATGCCATATTTCCCCATGGGAAATGACTGAGAAAACATTCCTCACATTAACTGCTGCTGTCAAGTCACGTGACTTGGAGTGTAGATGTCCCTGAAGAAAATAGAAACTCACCGTTGGATTTGTTTGAAACTCACAGAACGTAATCATCAGATAAATGTCTAGAAATGATTAACGTTTGGAGCCATTTTGATTCAAGATGGCTGCCACAGCTACCTCAGCAAACACAAAATTGAATATAACTCGGTCATTCTTTGAGATACAGAGCTGAAATTTGGCGAGGTTATAGCTGAGAATGTTCCCTATCACATACTGAGTCCAAATCAAAAATCCAAGATGGCCGCCTTAGCTAAAAAGGCAAAATTACAATAACTCAGCCATTTTTAGAGCTATTCAGCTCCAATTTGGTACAGTGGTAGCTGAGAGCAAACCCCAGCACATAGTACTGTCAAATCACAATTTTAAATCAGCAGCAGCCTGGCAGTGGCTGGTCCAAGTGGGCCAACACCAAAAAAACATCAAGATCAACGTAACTTTACTGCACTGATAATTTTGCATTACACAGTTATTTCGACAAATACTTTATCATTTTCCTACTGGAAGTGCTACAACTAGCTGCTGCTGCCTCTATTTACATTTGTGAATAACCATATAATTCTACGTAATGAATCGTGAGCTGTAAAGTCTACAGCGATGCAAAGGTTTCTAGATTAGCATTCTTCATGAACCGTAGTTGGTTTTAACCTGGCTCAGATTAACCATAAACTCATCAGTCTGGTCAGAATAAATGTGATTCTTCAAACCAAAGCATTCAATTGATCCAAACTATTGCTTTAAATTGAAGGTTCAGCCCCCCGGTGTGACATAAAACAGTCAGGGTGATTTTATGTTTTAGTTTAGCAGCTTTTAAAGGACGACGCCATCACGTTATCATCTAGCATGTGTTAGTGTTATTGGCTCGAAGTGTCTTTTAATTAACTGCAGCAATAAAACACGTATGATATTTATTAACACAGTCGTCCGTAACTTCCACACAAAATAGCCAGTTTATGCAAAACTAAGCGTTTTTGTTATCACAAGTTGATGCATTAATAGATTAACACATCGCTGAATGGAGTAAACTTTAAAAAAGGCTCTTCGATTGGTTATTATACACTAACTTTTCTAATTTATCTGATTTAGTGTACCTGTAATTATAAAAAGCAATTGGTGTACAGTAGAAGTGTGGAAAAAGTCGTCTTCCTGTCACTTATCTGTCAATAGAACAGGAGTTGGCGTTCAACAATGCTAACTCCAACTAATCATTACCAGATGTGCGATGTGTCGTTGAGCTCGTGTTGTTCCCTGTTGGACTGCCACAGATATTAGTTTTGTTTCTCTCACTTTCAAAATCAGACTAATGTGTTGACAGAGATTTGAGCTTTGACGCAGCTCGAGGGGGACATTCACTGTCCTCCCTTTTTACGGGATCATCGACAAAGAAAACAAGCAGCAGGGACAACAGCACTGACCGGGGGCAGAGCCGGCTTACACAATCCCCACTTTACGTCTTTTATTTGCGTAATTTGTTTGAGCTTAAATGCTTCTCTAGGGAAGCACTCTGGCACTTTATCAAACCTCCAATGAAACTCGTTGTCCATTTTCTGTCACTGTGAAGTTTTAGTCTTTTTTTTTTTTTTTCTCAGTTTATTCACCTCAACTGTTAGCTTCAATTTTCATAAGATGTCAAATAAAACCTTCTAAATTCATTTAAAGACAAATTATTAAACTAATGTGTTACTTCCAATGCCAGCACTATTATTGTCATTAACTCATAACAGAGGAAGCAGGGCAAACAAACTATGGGGTTGGTATAAATGTAATTTTATAACATATAGGACAAAAATCTATATTCAGGTTATGAATGGCTGACACAAACTAATAAGTCTGTTGAATAAAAGCATCAAACAAGGCTTATTTTAGCTCAACATTCTGGATTTAACTTAGAATTACTGACACTTTAAAGCTGCTTGAAATGCATCAATAAAAAAAAAATCCAATGTTGCATTCTTTAAGAATATTTCTGATAAGCTTTAGTTGTTGCTGTTTTCTTATCATCTGTGTGCCATAGCAGCAACACATTGTCCACCTTGCAGAATTTACCAAAGGTGTAACAAAATATTCAAATTTTGTGCAAATACGACTGTTTAAAACAGCAAAAATTAAAAAAAGAATAGGCCCTGATGGCAGGTGTAGTATGTGCCTAAAGAGGCAGAAATGTCACCGTTAGATGGAGTATACACACATACACGTATTTCCATCTTCATAGCTTCTTCAGGAAATGTGTGGTTTTGTTGCACCAGCCTGCAAAACAGAAAGTTGGCCATAAATCCACGACCATCTTAAAGAAAGCACAGTTTCCTCACATTATTGCCAAACTGCCGCCTGCAGAGCGTGCCAGCAGATTTATTGCTCCACAACTTCTTATCGGTTGGAGCCGTCACATGAACGAGAAATGAAACAAACCTCTCAGCGCTCCACTGTTGACGTGTTTCTGTGGGTCGTTTAACGAACCCAGGCGTCCCCGATCGTCTACAGCATTATGCTCTTTTCTTTTCCTAAGCCAGTTTTGATCAAAGTTTCGTATAAACGACAGTGACGTAACACGATCCGAGGAGATTAACGCGTCACCCCGTGCTCGAATGGTTGTGTGTCTGTTCACCGGCAAACAATTGACACGCCGTGCGCTAACGTTGTGTTCTGTTGTTGCCTTGCAGATTAAAGACAGACGTGAAAGGAGTAAAAGAAAAGTGAGTACCGCAGTGCTTTCTGCATGGAGTTTGGGGGAAATTGAGGGATGGGGGGGACGACAATGACCGACTTGAGATCTGATGTTGCTTTGCACACAAGCTCACTCTGTCGTCTGCAACGCTCCGTCTTGTTACAATTGACTGTAATACACACTCTGTTTAATTTCTCACTAATTTATTTATTTTACAAATCTGTTCATGACTATAATCTAAGTGGATACACTACATGTGATCTGCTCATAAGTAGCATGAATTAGCATGTTGTGCTCAAATAAAAGCAATGCCAAATAAATGATCAGGTGAATGACTCTTGATGAAGCCATTGTTCTGTTTGTACACATTTTTCTGCCTTTTCTATTCCATCGTTGCATTCCTCTGTTACCTTTTTACATCCCATTTATCGTCTGTTACTCATGCTTCTAATTGCTTTCATACAGATAAGTGTCTCTGAAGACCTGTTAGTTGTCAGTTTATGGTCAAAGCTAAGTAATCTTTCTATCCCATGTGACACGAGTCGGTGTCCCAAGGGTCATTAAAGCTCTTTAATCCTCCCTCTGGGAGTATTGTTAATATTTTTCCATCGTGCGGTTGTTGGCGTTCGTGTTTTGATTTTATGTCAGGTCGTCTGTCATATAGATAAGGCCGAGCTTTGAGACCTTCGCTTTAACCTTGTCTCAACTGTTTACGAGTCTGCCTTTGGTGGCGTGCTTCTCCAAAGTGATGGTCCTCGGGGTCATTCAACTTCTGTTTCTGAAGCCTTCGTATGTTCATGTCAGCCTTGTTAACCTCTCGAGGTCCTCAAGTTTGTCCGGGTGAATCATCGTGCTGAGGTTGTGAAACTAGTTAACTGTCAAAGTCCATAGTGAAATTGGGTTTGATCTCCTGTGTCATTTAGAAGAGGAAGCCTTTACATATACAGACGTCCTGTTTCGTGGACTAGCTGGTGTTATACATGTCATCCTGTACCCACCGGACATAACTTGGGTGAATTTGTGCCTTCCGCTCTTTTATGTTCCCATGCTCGGCTACAAAGGGTTTCCTTGAAAAGTTAAAACAATATTTTAGCCATTCCAGCACATTCTGGGTTTTGGGATGACTATTCTCGATTGTCTTTAGGTTGCCAGTCTGTTCGTTACTTTGTCCAGGCTGAAGGGTTTTAACATTTGTTCCTCTTTGGACCTTATAGGATTAATCAAGAAACTAACAACAACAACGGTAATAAGATCTAGACAGGGTTATCTTTGGCCTTGAAATCTGGGACACACTCGAGACCTGCAGAACAAGCGTTGTAATGAATCAAGTTAAGATTAGTTGGATTAACGGTTAAATAACATCCCAACCAGCTTGCGTTAACTCCTGTAAGTATTGCAGATTTGCAGCTGTTCGAATGCTAACACGCTAAGCTAAATGTTAGCATGCTGAAAATGGTAGCTTCGCTAAACATCAACATGCTGATGCTATAACTTAGCTCTAAGAGCCACACAGCAGCTAGCATGGCTTAAAAAGTGAGAGTTCAGGCTGTTTAAAGTGGACTGTGGAAAGGTTATAAACAAATAATAAATTACTTGCTGTGGTAAAGATGGCTTTTTAAACAGTTTTACTTTGGAGAAATGTTTCTTACCAGACTTGACGAGCTAATGGCTAGTCCAGGTAAAATCGAGACCGTAGTGGGTTGCTGATATTTTTAAATCTCTCCAGTTCAAAAGAATTATAGCTGTTTATTCAAACCCTGTTATTTAACCTTTACACCACCTTCAGTTTTATATAGCATGGTTATTTTGGCAGAAGCATTATGAAAGCTCCAGTATGTCCAATAGGGACACTGTCCAGTTCTACTATCGTGTGAATTTGACAGCATTGTAAAGATTTATAAAATACTCTTCTCATAAACAATTAAAACAAGCCACCAATTTATCAATCCAGTCAAAATTAAACTCTAATTTCTTCAAACTAAGGTTGTATAAAGCAGGGGTTCCCAACACTGGTCCTTGAGGAACACCATCCTGCATGTTTTAGTGGTTTCTCTGCTCCAACACACCTGATTAAGTGGTTTATTTACTTCCTTAAGTTCAGCAGAAGCCTGTTAATCACTTTTTCATTCAAATCAAGTGTGTTGGAGCAGAGGAACAACTAAAACATACAGGATGGTGTTCCTCAGGGGCCAGTGTTGGGAACCACTGAGAACTTCTCGATCATCTTTCCACTGATGTCTTGTTTTAAAATATATGAATTATTGTTTTAAGTGATTTTTTTTATGCTAGTACTCCCACAGTAGTCTCATCTCTATGGAAGATGCTTTCTAAATGGTACTTTATTAGCGCTAAGCTTATGGCGAACAGGTGGAAGGAGAGGCAAACATTCACAAAAACAACATTTTTTTAATGAGCTATCGAGGTTCAATCCTTTCACAGACGGCAACATCAATTAATGAAGTTTGGGCAACAAATTTCATGCAGTTTACATAATTTTAAAAAACGTGCAGAGGATATTTATAAAGCCTAAGACATTTGTGCATTTCCTTTGGAGATCTAAACTGCCACCTCTACGATAATTACACTTCTGCCATTTCTGCTCCATAGCTTGGTGCAGAAACGTAGTTATTATTGTGCAAAAATAAATCTGAAGGCAGAAAAACTAAACCCTCCCTGTTACAGCGATGCACTGTATATGCACTTAATATTTAAACACCATTAAAGCTTTGTCTAACACCAGGGACCAGGTGTGTGAAGCTCTAAACTTCTGTTCACAAACAGTGTTTTTTGTCATTTTCATGAAGTGGCCCGTGCACACAGTCCCGTTATTTAAATCCTCATGACCGTGAAATTGTGTGCACATATACAAGCTTGAGTTACATTCCAGTCTTGACTCATTAATGATTCATTTACATATTGAAAAAAACTCTTAACCCCACAAGTCGTTAGGCGGGTCAGTGAAAACAAGCACACAAAACACAACACGACTGCAGACAAAATAAGTTTTCGTCTACTTGAACAAATAACTTTAAATGTAACATAAATATATATATATATATATATATATATATATATATATACTGAGCACATTGAGATCTTTACTGTTACCAGGCTGTTCGGTGAAGAAGCGCACACACGGTTGTGCCCACACATTGTTTATACATGCAGCCCTTTGTATGCGCTTCATAAGCACACTTCTGTTTGTTGTCATTGTACTCATCTGAAACAAGTTGAGTCGGCTCTAAAGAGTTGACCCAGATATGTTGAAAGATGCCGTTTTGGTGAAGTCCAAGCCTTTTGTCCTCAATTCATCCGGGAAATTTCCGCCCACGACAAGCCTCACACTGTTAATTGGTTTCACTCTTTGCAGAGTCATTGTGCTGGTTTATAAGAACAGGCTTTTTGAAAAAGTCTTTTGAAAACCAGGTTGAACAATGAAATTATTTTCTCACAGATCAAACTGCAGGATGTGGATAAATCTGGGTGTTTCTTTCTTCCCTTTTTAATAAAAGGTCCCTGAAAGCATCGGGCCAGGCCCGGCGCTTTTTTCTCATAACCTGAGAAGTTGATTCCCGTGGAGTGCAGTCAGTAACAAAACTCCAGTGGAGTGTGTTCTGGCAGCTTGTCTTGATAAATTATCATTACCATGCATTTTGATTGATCATTATCATGCGTTTCCTTTAGAAAAATCATCAATTCAAGATGTTAACGTCTCAGTTCATCTTTGCCGTCAGTCTCTCAGGCATCTCTCTGCGTTGTCCTCTTTCTCTTGCAGAAAATCCGGGAAAGGCAAAGGCCAAAAGAAAAAGCGAAAGAAAAACCGTGACAAAACAATTCACGATGCGTATGTCAGCTCCGCCTTCTCCACCTACCTGCACCTGAGTGTTGCGCTTCTCATAATTAAGCTTATTTGGGAGGAGCTCTTTTGCCTTTTGTAATTTGTACCATTTTATTTTACCCGTCAGCCACATCAATTAGCATGTCGCTTCCGTGTATTGTCCTAACTTTGTCTCATTAGCCATGCTTTACATATTGAAAAAAAAAAAAAACAGCAATTGCCAGGGATTTATACTAACATAGCTTCTCTAAACTTTATATCACAGCAAACAAAGAGTAGTAGCAAGGTTTCCCACCTCACAACCCAAAAAACACCCCAAGTTGTCAAAAGCCATAACTAATCTGAGCACGTTTGAAAGAATGTGTACGAGACCGGACCAATGATTGGGATGACCTTCTTAGCAGAGTGATTGATAGACCCGTTACACGAAGCTGGGATAATCAGATCTGGGATCTGCTATTAGCTGTAACCCAAACCTTCTACTGCAACAGATCCACCAGCATGGCTTTAGAGACCGGCTCATACTGTTCTTTATCTGCTGGGATCGCCAAGACTGTAATCATGGTCCTGTCTTCATGTTGAGTCTGTGCTGCTTTGCTGTGTCTCATTCCCGTCTCCGAGCTTTTCTTTCTTCTTTTCTTCTTAAAAACCTGTTTTTGTTACCCCGTGCCAAATGCCGGTACTTTTTATGTAACGTGAAGATTTGATTGCTATCTATTGCTTTCTATTTTATAAAGTAACTGTTTTTGTTTTGATGTTTGCCTACTTTTGTGTGTGAAACCTTGAAAATAACTTATATTTTATTGAAAACTAATATAAAAATGACCTCATTGTTTCTTCAGTGCACAAACTGTGAACGTATTCTGTCAGCGTGTTCATTTTGTAAATTGTATCTTGTAAAGCCAGTGGTTTTATCTGAGCCTCAATTCTTGTAATGAAGTGTAATTTAGTCCACGTTTCAGCTTCTGTTTTGAATCGCATGTCTTCTCTGTGGAAAAACGCAGTCTTCAGTTGTCACTTAATAAAATGAAATTGTTCTTAACGGTACACCAAACAGGCCCCTGAGTTTTCTTTACCAGGAAGTGACCGTTTGTACGAGTGAGAGCGAGAAGTGTGCTGTCAGTAATGTGCAGCTTGAGGCCGTTTTCGTGTCATCCTGTGCTGCATGAAGTTGTCTGGAGCTTTGCTCACTGCATGTCTAACCCAAGTTGCCTGATCAGTGTGGAAGGGATGAGGGGCTGGGTGTTTGACAACCCGGCAGTGGGTTAAAGGAGGAAACTGGAGCGTATGAAAGGGGTCGACCTTAAGGTGACCTATCGTAGGTGATGATAGTACCCTGTTATAATCTGCCTCTCTCTCTCTCTCTTCCTCCCCATCTCTGTCTGTCTCTCTGTCTGTCCAGTGTCTGTGAGCCATGTTGTGATAACTGCACAGAGAGGAGAAAGCGTTTGTTTGTGCAGGATCCAGCAACCTGCCGGTGCTCCTGCAAACACACAGTTGAATACTGTAAAGATCGCCAGCTAGAGCTCAACGAGAAGACCTGCAAGTAAGCTTTACCGGTAGAGCTGAACCTCAAGCTAGAGCCTTCCAGATGGCTTTTGTGATAACACAACTAACTGAACATTCAGCTGTGTTGCAGCTTGGTAGCAGCTACCGTAGTTGGCTTGTTACCCCTTGTTTCAATTGGACGCCGTTGCACCGTTTTCTGGCTGCCGGTTTGATTCTGTAGCCTTGTTGCAGTTTAGTTTGACACCAGAGGAGCACTTCAGAAGTAGAGCACATCATTGGCTAGACTGTACAAGTCAGATTAAGTCGAGCTAAACATCCTAATCTGTGTGTTTTTAGGATATCAAATAACTTGCCACTTGCCTTCTACTCCCAAAACTCCTCAAGGTAAATTCCACAACTTGTCCTCTCCGGTAATTCCTTTATTTTAAAATAAGATAAATCATGTGGTGTCATATATCATGTGCTTATCGGTGGCTGAACCTCCCATTGTTGTTCTTTGAAATTCTCTAGTTAAATGTTGGTCTCATGCTGTCGGTTGCGTTGATTTAGCGATGCACAAGTCGAGGTGTTTATTTAGAAAATCGAGCAGATTCTTTACAGTGTTTGTATGTCTTTTCATCTCGTCCCTTTCGTGCTGGTTGATAAGGTTCTTAATTTTTTAGAAAATCACCATCTAAGGCTTTTATTTATTTATTTTTATTGTTTTTAACCAAAACCCCCACAGTTGGGACAGGGCACAGAACAGGAACGTGTTGCAGCTGCATCCGGTGAAACAAGGGGTCAGACTGAGCAGCATTTCACTGTTTGCATGTCATCTTCTTCTCTACACCTGCTTCCTTTACCATCCATACAAACCTGATGTGTTTTATATATATATATATATATATATATATATATATATATATATATATATACACACACATACATACAAGTACTTCTAAAAAGGTTACATTAAAATATTACTGAGGTTTACTTTAAAGCAGCAATTATACGAAAAAAATGTCTTCCAATTTCTTTACTGCATTGAAGTTTTTTGTTTTTTTATAGGGATGCACAATATTTTTGGCATTGTATCGGTATCGGACGATATTGGCGATAAAGTTAAATATCGGACATTGACCATTCCATCAAAATAACAGACATAAAAGGCTTCTGTTTTAAGTTCATTTTTAATTTAAGAAACTGTCAAGTATATCTATTAATGCACTACTTGTGCGCTTTTAACTTGTCACTCGTGAACAGGTTGCGTTTAGATTTGTGAAAATGTACAAATTTGCACTGTTCAAGTGTTGTCATTGTGTTGGAGAGAGTAAATGTCATGAATAACTTTGACATTAAACATAATACAAGTTGAGGTGTTACATTATTTTCAGCCCCTTTTTGTCATCTACATTTGGTAGCAGGCCAAACTGACAAAGATCATGCAGAATAATGTAGTGTTTTAATTCCACAGCAGATAAAGCTATGTAGTCTCTGTAAGTAGGTCTAAGGAAAAAATATTGGCATCGTTATCGGTTATCAGCCAAAAATCCAATATCATGCATCCCTAGTTTAAATTCAAAAAAAGTTTTAAATTGTATTCATTTGTGTTTATAATATTGGACTAAATAATTGACTGGTATGAATGGTGCTGCTTTTAGGAATAAACCTACAAAGAATCCACTTCTGACACTGAGGTTCCCCACAACTTCAGTGTTTTTCATTTTCAGACATTTTCTGAATCAAGCAGAAAGCTGCTACAAACATTACACTCAAAAAAACAAAAATCTATACGAAAGTTTAAGGCTCCAGCCTAACAGCTGAAACATTTCCTTTATATCATGGTAAACATGTTCTTTATAACCTAATTATAGGAACTGCTTGTCTCAGAATGTTCATTTTGTGAATCATGTCTGTATTTTGAGGGGCACCTTGTGGTTGACGAGCATTGGCTGCTTAGTTTCTTACTCTTCATCTATGAGGTGCAACTCTGGGCTTCAAATTTAAATGTGTACATTCGCTTCATCTCTGGGGACAACTTTAACATCTAGAATCAGCGTTGCTGTACAAGAACACCCAAAATAACTGTTTAATATTCTTGACCAGTTAGAATTTAATACCGTGCCTCCAATAATCACATTTTCCTGCTAATCCGTTGTTTTACCTTTTGTCTTTCCTTCTTGTTTAGATGTGACAAGCCGAGAAGATGAGAGCGGTGGCAGCACCAGATGTACAAGATGAAGGAATATTCTAAAGATATTTCACAGCACAGCACTTTGACCTTTGAACCGTAAGCTCTTTTCTGTGGAAAGCATTCCCCTTGGACTGACAAAGAACAAAGAGGACTGGCGTTTCCTCCCTCTGTATATCTGCGTGTACATAGACCATAATATGCGAAAAAGACAAAAAGAGCACAGAATTGTTATGCTGCTACAGAAACGAATAACTAAACCCAACATTGACTAAAAACAAACTAGATGTGGTTTTGCATTTCTAACCGGCTTGTGACGCAGGTGTAGTCTTATTGTCAATCGTATGCAATTTCTTCACTGGATTTGAGTCTACTGTGGTTGTGTGTCATTCATAACGAGCAAAACCTCTAGATATATATTTAAATGCTACGACAGCGGGCGAGACTGAAAAAGACGTGGATGCGTTCTTTCAAAAGCGACGGATGGACTTTTCGTTGGCCGACATCTGCGTACGCTTTTGGAGCGACGAGACAAACGGGACAGCCGATTGGAAAAGAAAAAAAAACTGTCTCTGCTCGATATCACCTCCTTCCCCTCTGAGGACATTGCAGGACTGACGTGAACTTTAAAGACACTGTTGCAATCAGAGGAGTCTCTGGAGTGGTGGTGCCGTATACTTTTAAAGGGATACTGGTCATCAGTATAGCATTTTAATGTTTTGCTATAAAAAAAAAAAAACCACTGAAATATCCTATACTGTAGTTTGATTCCATTTGAAAACTGTGCCTCATGTATTGTACTGATAAATCTTTCAAGTGCTTTTTAAATTATTTTTTTGTTTCCTTTGGAGAAGAGGAAAATGTCAAAGTAGTTGTCTTTATGGTTGAACACAACACGTGATCTGTTGATTATAAGTTCCTCTCTGGACTTGTACATACGTCATATCCATTTATGCCATTCTAGATAATTTATAATGTTATAGAGTATTTTACAGTATTCAGTCTTCTACACATATTTAATTTGGTCTATTTATGTATGCCGTGTTCTGAACCTGTAGCTGTCTTTTATTCCCTCATGTGTAAGGTCACTGATGGCTACTTTCATGGAGGCTTTCTGTGCTTTTCTATGAAGTAAGAAGTCAAATTTGCTAACATTCCCTAAATTAATCATTTGTACTGACGTGCTGATGGCGTCTCCATTTCAACGCCTGTCATTTGAGGGTGTGGGTCATGTTGAGTTTTAACTTGTGTGTGTGTGTGTGTGTCTGCAGTATAAGTGAGTGTGTACAAAAGAACTGTGTTCATCCCGCCTTTGCTACGTGCACATCTTTGTAGGTGTAAGTAAATTGTATTTAAGTATTTAAACACGTTAGAAGGCCTGTGTTTTGTTTGACGTACAAGATGCAAATTTCATTTAACTACTGCTAGCAACCCAGTGTTCACCACCGCAACACCACCAGGATTTTAAATTTGGATAAACTTTCGTTCTGTCTGCCATCAGTTTTAGAGCCTCTGTTCTTAGTTATCGTTGTTTCTTCTCCACTATTAACGTGTTTTTGTTTTTTTTCTGTTTATATGTAAAACAGTAAAGCATATTTATTTTCAAATCATATTGTTTTTATATAAAATAAGGAAAAGGTTGCTGTGTTGGTGTTTTCACGTGAACTCATGCATGCTCAATAATCCAGGTGGAAAAATCTAACCAGGTTAAGTCAGGTCCTCTGGATGGATTCTTGTGTTTCAGTTGGTTTAAGTAGGCTTCGGTTTAATGATTTTGTGACGCAAGATGTTATTTTCACACACTTGGCATCTGCAACGTTAAAGAAGAAAGAACGGGGACAACGGTGAACTCTGCACGCTCCTCAGAAACATTCAGCCGTGTGAATAAACACACACTTTGACAAAGTGTGCAGCAATTTCATCTGTTAAGTTAAATTTTAGCTGCAGGAAGAAACAAACTATTTGGAAACTTAAAGATTCAAAGAAAATATTTACTGTGTATGTTGAGTCAAATGAGCCATTGGACAGAACAAGGACAGTCTTTACTCTGAAATAGTGAGACTTCTAGTACGTTTTTAAATGATTAAAAATAAAGATTATAATAAATCATGCTATTTTACTGAACCCTACAATAAAAGCAAAAAGATACGACCCATTCACACCCCTGAGGCCTCAATTAAAGACAGGAGGCCACTTTATAAACGTAGTTTAATTTATTTAAAACTTAATTTACTATATGTATATATTCACTCACTGATCAGCGAACCAGTTTTTGGTGGTGGTACCTGTGTTTTTATCAAAATCACATCAGAAATTTATAAATCAGATATGTCTCCTTTAAATGTTCATCCTTTTCTTCCTTTTTAGGGTCGCGGGGGGTCACTGGTGCCCATAGCATTGTGCGAGAGGCAGGGGACACCCTGGACAGGTCACAAGTCCATCACAGGGACACACAGAGACAAACGAGACAACCATTAAAAAAAATTTCAATTAAAAAATACTTTATTAATCCCAAAGGGAAATTATTCACTCTCCTACTCACATAGTTACCAATTAGCCTAACACTGGTTAAATTGGAAGCATGCTAGTTTGTATAATTTGAGAAAACTGCTATCTTGGCATTATTAGTCTGTATTGATTTGGTGACCAGGATGATCGAGGACGCTAACCAACCAAGCTCCTGAAGGCAACGACGGCTAGCTACAGTGTTGCTGAAAGAAACTGCTAACGCTGTTGGCTCTAAGCTAAAGTTGGATCAAAACTAAACAAGAGCACACAATAAATATTAGCCTTGCAGCAAGTTTTGTAATGACATTATCTAAAATAATAAATAAAAAGACCAAAGTTTATGCTCAATAATCCAGGTAGATATCCAACAATGTTCAGTCAGGTCATCTGGATGGTTTCTTTTTTTGCTGAGACATTTCATCATTCATCCAAAGGACTTCTTCAATCTGAGGAACCACCAAAACAAACTGATTCCCACAAACGACATACTCCATAGTGGGGGGGGGGGGGGGGATGAGTTTGCTGGTGCTAAGATGTCCTCCGGGGCCCGCCCGCCCTCTCCCCTGTCAACTACAGTGCCTTGCAAAAGTATTCACCCCCTTGAACTTTTCAAACTTTTGCCACATTTCAGGCTTCAAACATAAAGATATAAAATTTAAATTTTTTGTGAAGAATCAACAACAAGTGGGACACAATCGTGAAGTGGAATGAAATTTATTGGATGTGTCAAACTTTTTTAACAAATAAAAAACTGAAAAGTGGGGCGTGCAATATTATTCGGCCCCCTTGCGTTAATACTTTGTAGCGCCAACTTTTACTGCAGTTCCGGCTGCAAGTCTCTTGGGGTTTGTCTCTATCAGTGTTGCACAGGGAGAGACTGAAATTCTTGCCCATTCTTCTTTGCAAAATAGCTCGAGCTCAGTGAGGTTGGATGGAGAGCGTTTGTGAACAGCAGTCTTCAGCTCTTTCCACAGATTCTCGATTGGATTCAGGTCTGGACTTTGACTTGGCCATTCCAACACCTGGATATGTTTATTTGTGAACCATTCCATTGTAGATTTGGCTTTATGTTTTGGATCATTGTCTTGTTGGAAGATAAATCTCCGTCCCAGTCTCAGGTCTCTTGCAGACTCAAACAGGTTTTCTTCCAGAATGGTCCTATATTTGGCCCCATCCATCTTCCCATCAATTCTGACCATCTTCCCTGTCCCTGCTGACGAAAAGCAGGCCCAAACCATGATGCTGCCACCACCATGTTTGACAGTGGGGATGGTGTGTTCAGGGTGAGGAGCTGTGTTGCTTTTACGCCAAACATATCGTTTTGCATTGAAGCTAAACTGTTCGATTTTGGTTTCATCTGACCAGAGCACCTTCTTCCACATGTTTGCTGTGTCTCCCAGGTGCTTGTGGCAAACTTTAAACAACACTTTTTATGGATATCTTTGAGAAATGGCTTTCTTCTTGCCACTCTTCCATAAAGGCCAGATTTGTTCAGTGTACGACTGATTGTTGTCCTATGGACAGACTCTCCCACCTCAGCTGTAGATCTCTGCAGTTCAACCAGAGTGATCATGGGCCTCTTGGCTGCATCTCTGATCAGTCTTCTCCTTGTTCCAGATGAAAGTTTAGAGGGACGGCCGGGTCTTGGTAGATTTGCAGTGGTCTGATACTCCTTCCATTTCAATATGATTGCTTGCACAGTGCTCCTTGGGATGTTTAAAGCTTGGGAAATCATTTTGTTTCCAAATCCGGTTTAAACTTCTCCACAACAATATCTCGGACCTGCCTGGTGTGTTCCTTGGTCTTCATGATGCTCTCTGTGCTTTGAACAGAACCCTGAGACTATCACAGATCAGGTGCATTTATACAGAGACTTGATTACACACAGGTGGATTCTATTTATCATCTTCAGTCATTTGGGACAACATTGGATCATTCATAGATCCTCACTGAACTTCTGGAGTGAGTTTGCTGCACTGAAAGTAAAGGGGGCCGATAAATATTGCACGCCCCACTTTTCAGTTTTTTATTTGTTAAAAAAGTTTAACACATCCAATAAATTTCAGTCCACTTCATGATTGTGTCCCACTTGATTCTTCACAAAAAATTAAATTTTATATCTTTATGTTTGAAGCCTGAAATGTGGTAAAAGGTTGAGAAGTTCAAGGGGGACGAATACTTTTGCAAGACACTGTATTTGGAGTCATGCGAAAGGGGTTCAAAACACCAAAGTTCATGCTCATGAATCCAGGTAGAAATCCATCAATGTTCAGTCAGATCATCTGGACGGTTTCTTTTTTTTTCTGAGATGTTTTGAACAAAAAGACTAAATCACTGCAGGGTACTTTACCATACTCCACATGTTGCTGAAATATGGACGAGTTGGACCAAATCTGGACAACAACACAGAACACTATTGTTATTAAACAGTAACATTAACCTTACAGTAAAATTTGTGGTATTATCTAAATTACTTTTCCCTTTTCTGACATTTATGCTTTCAAAGCAAACAGCATTAGTTTCAGCTGAATGATTGTGCTATAGTGATAGTGGTGCTGATATTAACCATCGTTATGGGAAACTATCCTGAAACAAGAATTGCACTGAACTGTTACAGTCAACATTTCATCTGTAGGCACACTCACATCTTGAAGATCTCTTAAGCAATATGAAAACTTCTGGTTTGACGAACCATTTGCATATCAAGAGGTTTTACCAGGAAGGAGTTTAATTCACACCAGTTAACTGGAATTTAACTTCTGGAAACATGATTCCAGTTTTAACTCAATACTTCCTTTGAACTCATGACTCACTTTCTTTCCCACAGTTGGCTGTACCATGGAAATGTTCGTATATCACCTGTATCGAGACACTTTTTCCACTGCAAACCTGATATCTAAAAGGTCGTTTAGTCACCTAGCAGCCTTTATTCCAAACGCTGTTGGGACAAAAAGCAGCTTCAGCAAGTGACTTGTGCAGCGACACTTGAGAAGTTGCAGATCTACAGCCCCCTACAGCAAATCTAACTCCT